ATTTAATATCCCAATTATCAAATATGTCTATAAAATCTTAATTTTATTATGTCACTTTACTAAGTATCACACCATATAACGTATATCAATTGACTTAACAAACAATAGTYAAAATTATAAATTATATATTTTATAATAATTTGTCTAGAGGTATTGCTGGATAACATGTTAATCAGTCAGTAAAAGTAATGCTACAATATTCGGTGAGATATTAATGACAATAATGTTCAGTAGTGATCAGTTATTATTGTTTACAATAAAGATGGTTAATGGATATAATTTGTTTTATTTTCTTATTATTCATCCATAATAACATTTATTTATCTTGAAATTGTTATTAATAATTATTTGTCGCAGATGATCGGGTAGCTACGTCAGAGATAAATGATCCAAGAGTTTCCTATACCGGCAGAAATGCCCATCTATATTTCACCATTATGTATAAATATTAAATTATATTTGTCAGAAAAGTCGGTCAATTATAATTATCGTAATACCATACTTTATCAAACAATGCTAATCTAACTGCTATTAACTACTGACGATAGGACATATTCTGCATGAAAAACTTTTAGTATCGAATATTAAGACCGCTGTGCGGCCATCGGTACAGAACTATACTTTCGTGTCATCCATCTTCAGACACTCTTGTGTTACCCGTTATATCCCTTTCACATTTTCTCTCGTATTTTACGGAGTGGCCTTAATAATTATTGTATAAGGGGAAATTGTTTACCACAGCATTTTGCCATTATAACCACTGAGAAATTATTTGAGTTTGCAATGTGTGGTGGGTGTGTGCACGCGCGCGCGCTAAATTTACGTCATAGATCGCCGAACAAAGTCTATAATAAGGACGAGATTATTCAAAGTGTTTAGCACATATTATATAATGTAATTTTATGCGTTTGTTGGTTTTTATAATACAAAAACAGTTTGGAAATTTCGATGCGTCTTATAAATCATGAGGTTTATTGTTCTATGATCATCGCCCGAGGGATATACGAATTTAATTACATAAATGAGACAATAAACTGTCCCGGGCCATTTTCCTTCCTCCGTCGCGTGTAGCGTTCTCCCCTTTTAAGGGAAGTAATTACCCGTCGAATTAAAAGCCTTTTTTTTTTAAAAAGTAGCTCCCAGATTTTTAATTTCACTGTAGAATTATTATGTTTTTTTTTTTTTTAACTTGACGACGAAGACCGTACATAAAAACAATAGCCTAATGCATTCGTAATGGCACGGATACGGTGCTTAAAATTTGTTCATCTCCTCTAGTACTCGTAGAAGGCCACATTTTGAATATACTGACAACCACAAAAGCGTTGCACAGCGGATACCAAAGGCAAATAAAAAAAAAAAGTGTTTTCTATTGATGTGTGTTCCCTATGTAATTATTAGAAGGCTTAATTCTTAATCTAAAATAAAAAAAGGCTTCATTTCCTSCTTAGTGGTTAGTGCTTGCGCTGGATTTCTACCTACACTACTCTTTAAGTGATTTAAGTGAGTATTAAATATAATGTTTCCATCATATATATATAGTGCTTACAATATTTGCTGTAAAGTCAT